AATGGGATTGCTTTATTCAATTTCACCTCAGCTTGTGCATTGTTGTTTTATATCTTTCACTTCTTCAGTTATATTTATCCCTAGGTATTTTTTTTTGGTTGCTATTGTAAATGGGATTGCTTTATTCAATTTCACCTCAGCTTGTGCATTGTTGTTTTATAAATATGATAGATTTTTGTAAATTGACTTTGTATCCTGCCACTTTACTGTACTCATTTATCACTTCCAGGAGTTCTTTCGTGTATTCTTTTGGATTTTCTATTTATATAATCATTTCATCTGCAAACTGACGTAATTTCACTTCTTCTCTTCCCACTTTAATACCTTTTATTGTATTCTCTTGTCTGATTGCATTGGCTAAGACTTCTAGTACTATATTGGAAGGGAGTAGAGAGAGTGGGCAGCCTTGTTACAGTTAGTGAAAAAGCTTTCATTTTTTTCCCCATTCACTATGATGTTAGCTATGGGTTCTTTATATATGGCTTTTATTGAGAAATGTTCCTTCTAAGCCAATTTTGCCAAGTCTTAATCATGAAGAGAGTTCGTATTTTATCAAATGCTTGTCTGCATTGATTGATATGATCATATGGTTTTATCTTTCTTTATGTTAATGTGAAGTATTACATATATTGTTTTCCATATGTTGAACCACACTTACATCCCTGGAATAAAATCTACCTGGTCATGGTGTATAATCTTTTTAATACGTTGTTGGATCCAATTTGTTAGTATCTTGCTGAGAATTTTGCTTCTGTATTCACCAAAGATATTGGTCTGTAGCTTTCTCTTTTTTGCTATATCCTTTTCTACTTATGGGTTCAAGGTAATGGAGGCTTCATAGAATGAATTTGGGAGGGTTCTTTCCTTTTGGATCTTTAGAAATAGTTTGAGTAGAATTGGAGTTAGCTCTTCTTTGAAAGTTTTGTAGAATTCAGATTCACTGCCATCTGGATGTGGGATTTTCTTTCTTGGAAACTATTTATTTCTGACTCAATCTTGTTGCTTGTTATTCGTCTGTTCAGGCTTTCTTTGTCTTCCTGATTCAATCTTGGTAGATTATATGGCCCAGAAATTTGTCAATCTCATCTAGGTTTTCTTGCTTGTTGGCATATAATTACTTGTAGTGTTCTCTCATAATCTTTTGTATTTGTATCTGTTGTAATATTGCCTGTTTCATTACTGATTTTATTTATCTAGTTCCCTTCTCTGTTCTTCTTGATTAATTTAATGCTGTGTTAATTTTGTTTATCTTCTCAAAGAATCAGCTTTCAGTTTCATTTATTTTCTTCTTATTCTTTTATTCTCTATTTCATTTATTTTTACTCTAATCTTTATCATTTCTTTTCTCCTGGTATTTTTGTGGTCTTATTTGTTGTTATTTTTCCAGTTCCCTGAGATACGTTGTTAGGTTGTCTGTCTGTCCCCTTTCAGCACTTTTCTTGTGAGCTATAAACTTCCGTCTATGGCTGCTTTCACTATGTTCCATAGGTTATGAAAACTTGAAACCAGCAGTTAGCATAGTGGTTATGTAACTGAAATCCCATGTAGTCGACCACGGTTTGAGTCCCAGACCCGGTGGCTTAAACTTACGTTGGGCGCATGTGCGTGCGTGCCCAAGATCCCAAGAGGAGAATGGAAGAGAAGGGATTGTGACATGGCCATCCCCCCTTGGGGGTGATTTCTCGCTTTCTGTCTCTCTGTCGCTCTCTGTCTTTCTAGTGAGCACACACACCCTATAGCCAAAACCTCTCCAAAATAAAAAAAAAAAAAAAGAAAAAGAAAACTCATGTGCTCATTATCCTTAGCTTCAGTGAACTTTTTTAATTTCAGTTTTAATTTATTCAGTGAATGTCAGATCATTCTGGAGTAGGTCGTCTTGTTTCCATGTGTTTGTGTATGTTTTTTTGGAGAGGTTTTTGCTATAGGGTGCATGCATTTACCAGAAAGGCAAAGAGAGACAGAAAGCATGAAATCACCCCCAAGAGGGGATGGCCATGCCACAATCCCTTCTCCTCCATTCTCCTCTTGGGATCTTGGGCATGCATGCACACGCACCTGGCGTGAGTTTAAGTCACCCAGTCTGGGGCTCAAACCGTGGTTGACTACATGGGAGTCCAGCTACATAGCCATTACACCAACCGCTGGTCCCCAGGTATTGATTATTAAATTTACCCTCACTGTTTTATTTTCTGGGTTTTTTTTCCACTTATTTCCTATACTTTTTTCATTTTAAAGACTCATTAGGAGACACTCACTTAAAATTTACATTTTTATGAAATACTTCCCCTCTACTTTGTCCTTCTCCTGTTACTTCCTTAACTATCCTGCTACTTTTCTTCCACTCACATACTCTTTTTTTCCTGTTTGATGTTGCCTACTCAATGTTCTCTGCTCATTATTGTCCATCCGACATTTTCTGAAATCAGTGAGACGTTCTCCCCTGTGGTAAGGCACAGGGGGCCCTGCTGTGGATTGGGTAGGTGTTTCTGGTTTTCTATCTGGAATGTATAGACACATGGTAATAAAAATAATGTAGTATGAGGATGCAGGGGCCTTCACGGAGTGCTATTGTTAGACATCTGGCCATAAACAACTTACAATAATGCACACACCGTGGCAGTTGGTAAAACTTGGCATGGCTTTCAGGGGTTGCTCCCATACACTTTCAACCACTGCCAGGAACACTCAGAAAAGACTGTCACTTACTACTGAGAAGAGAAGAGAAGAGAAGAGAAGAGAAGAGAAGAGAAGAGAAGAGAAGAGAAGAGAAGCAACTTTTATAGGGTCACCCAGGAATCTTGATTCTTTTCAATCTGCTTATCTCCTTTTCTAGCCAAGAAACCACATTTTACAGAGATCTTTGGATTTGGTAAGATCCTAGATACCTCTTCTTCCATTCTTTTTTTTTTTTTAGAGGTTTTCACTATAGGGCACGTGCGCTCGCCAGAGAGAGACATAGAGACAGAAAGCGAGAAATCACCCCCCCAGGGGGGATGGTCACGTAACAATCCCTTCTCCTCCATCCTCCTCTCGGGATCTTGGGCACACACGCACATGCGCCCGACGTGAGTTCTAAGCCACGAGGTCCGGGACGTGAACCGCAGTCGACTACGTGGGAATCCAGCGACATAGCCATTAGGCTAACTGTTGGTTCCCTTTCATTCTTATAGAAAGAACAGTACTCTAAAATTTCAAACTATTCATTATAAAAGTGCAAACCTCACTTAATATGGGTTTATCAATGTACAGACTTTTAGGTAAACCATTTTAGAAATTCTGAACTTTTTTTACAGGTAATTCTGCTTTCTTTTCCTGGAATCATTATGGACATGACTCTCTGAAGCCTTAATGCAACTTTGCTTTCTTCCAACATTTAGGCTCACAGACTACTTCTGGTATGTTTTTCCCTCTGCCCAGAGATTGGTATCAACTACTCTTCCAAAAGGCACTGGCTTCTTCTATCTGAAAATCGTTTCAGACACCACAGGTACTAGGTCTACAAATAAGCTTGTTCTATGTTCCAGCTGGAATTTGTCAGATGACAACAAAAATACCTAACAGCATTAATCATTGTAGAGACAGAGCAGAGAGAGAGTCTTCTTTTTGCAAATGTTCATGGATTCTTACTGACATTTTCGATTCACCTGTATTTTAGTAAGTTCTTTTTGCCTTACTCTAAGGAGAGTTTATTAATCCGTTCTTTTAACTTCTGAGCAACTAACTTATCTTGTTTTCACTAATGTTAACAAACACAGAAAGCTGCATATTGTCACACCACATGACGAGCCTAAATTTCAGTTATCTCCCCCAAACTCAAGAGACTTTGTGTCTTTTCTTTTTCTTGACCTACAGCCCAGCCATTCTAGAACTGGCTTCAGAGTGTGCAGGTCTCATTGACTATTTAGTCAACATCATCTTTATCTGAAAGGAAGGAAACCCCAACCTCTGTCCAGAAGAGCACCATAAAAACTAAGAGCTCAGAAATCTTAGTACAATATATAAATACCCTATTTTCTTGATAAACAGTAATAATAAAAGGTGAATAGAGACCAATACCACTTATCAATCCTTGAAAAAAAAAAAAAAGACCTCTGTCAGGACCAGCAGATGGCATAATGGTTATGTCACTAGACTCCCATGTAGTCAACTGTGGTTCAAGTCCCGGACCCAGCAGCTTAAAACTCATGCCAGGTGCGTGTGCATGCGTGCCCAAAATATCCTTAGAGAATAATGTAGAAGAAGAGATGGTGGCATGGCCAGACCCCTGGGGAGTAATTTCTCGTTTTCTGTCTCTTTGTTTCTCTCTGTCTCTCTGACAAGCACACATGCCCAATAGCAAAATTCTCCCCCCAAAAAAACTGTCAATTTTCTCCATTTGAGCCCCCCAATTAAAATTTATTTTATTTCACCTTTATATTTACTCTCTGACGGAGCATGACGTTGAGTAGTAAACTCCAGTTTCACAGAGGCCCATGGGTACACACAGTGGCGCCCTGGTGCTGCTGCTAGCCTGTGCTATAACCGTGCCTATCTCTTCCCAAGTCTATTATTGGTTTGGGGATAGCACAGTCACTGCTTGGAATCAGCATCATGGGGATATTTACACCATTAGCAAACAACTGTGAATCAGCGCTTTTTACCCAGAGACCTAGGTATTAAGCATTTACCAAGACAGCTCTGGCTACACCCTTCAGTTTTTCCAAAACTAGTCAAAATGGCGGAACATAAAACTGATCAAAATGGCGGAACATAAAATCAGTTAATATCCAGAATGTTCAGTTATATGCCAGACATAGTGGTTGGCCATTCCCATTTATGATATTTTCATAGACTATCTTTTGGTGCTTTATATCATTTTGGTAATATTTCCTGGGTGAGACTACCATCAGTCAACTCTTAAAAGACAAAAAATATCATTGGTTTATAGCACATTTTAGTCAGAATATCCAAAGCAAATCACCTTTAGCTGCCCACCAGATTCAAATAATTTCCAGATATTCTTGATCCATCCCCAGAAGGTTTTATTTCCATAACAGGCAAACAGAAAATTCAGTTATTTTTGGTTATTAACATTGTGGGCTAATATACAACTTATTACATGAATTAATACACACTGGGCTCTCCCTCTCCAATCATTTTGCAGTAACTGCATGTCTTCTGAATGACATGGAGAATAGAACCTAGCAAGCTCTGAGTATGCGGCCCAGCTTTGCCAAAATCTTAAACAGGTTGAAGGGGTGTTAAGTTTTCTTGTTGGGTCTATGTGGGGTTGAACCAGAACTTTGGACTTACCAAGTGGTCTATCATGTATTACACACACACACACACACATACCAACACACACACATGCACACCCTACCATATCACATGATTCCCATAAATGTAATAGTCTCAAATATCATTAGAAACTTTTTCTAGTAGAGGTTCTCATTTTGTTGTTCATTAAGCACCTGAATTTAGGCAAGAGGCATATTTCTACCTGAGAGGTCTGTGTAGTTAAATTCCCCTGCCTTTTTATTAGACTTCCTCAGAAAGCCATGGTATCACCACATGAGGAAGCCAGGACCCTCTGGCTGCTTGGGACAGTACTTGGACTGCTTCTACTCTCTGGGGGCATGGCATTCTGAGTCATCTCTCTCTGAGTCTACCACTCTTCCTCCCTCCTCTGTAGCATTCCCTCTCACCTCCACCCACACCTTAAACAGGACTCCCTCTAAGATTGCCTCCATATTTTTGCTTGCCTATTGAGCTAGGCTAGGTCTAGCTGTGCTCACTCAAAGACAAGGGCAGGGCATTGTTGGTGCTTCAGGCATCGCCTGCTCTTTGCCACACCAGCTCCCAGGACAAGACTGTTCCTCATGTTCTTCTCTCTTCTGCACTGCTTCCCTGCATCCTGATGCATTTACGTTCCTCCACATTCTACAACGTTCTATTGTCTTCTGCTTTGCTGTTCTGCCTACTACTCAGGGAAGGCTTGGGGGAGGGATATATTCCTACTCTTTTTTTTTTTTTTTTTTTTTTCCCTGTATCTGAAACCATCCAAAGTCACAGTCACAAGCCCAGATCTGAAATAGACTCAAAACAAATATGTTTGTTTTCTAAGACTTGTAACCTGAAGGGGGCCCAAGTTTTTCATCATTCTCCTGCTTTTCTCTCCAAGCAAGTATCTGGCTAATATTGTTAACCATTTCTATGTAGTTTTTAATTTTTGTTATTTTTTTCAAATATAGAGCTATTTCTAATATTCCTTTTGATTCAACTGTGAGGGTAGTTTTTTTTTAATACCTTTTATTTTATTGTCTTTTTTATTATATTGCATTATGGGAAAATGTGAGATCTTATAAATTCTGTTTATTGGGCAATGTGCAATATAGTATTGTGTTTGTTAAAATTTATGCATGTGACATTATATTGCATTTATGACATACGATTTGCTTTTTAAAATTTCTCATAGTGCTTTCCAAATCCATCTATCTTATGTGGCTATATGTGATTAATTTATTCTCACTGTTGTTCAGAAATTTATTTATACTATACCACAATTGACAGACATTTTGGCTAATTTTCTTCTATATATCTATCTCTTTTTCCTTCATTGTCAATTAATGATTCACTGAACAGATTTCAGTTTAGCTCTTTTTTCCATTAATTCAAATTTTCTCTAGGATAAGTGTCTAAAATAATAATTGCCTTATCATGGGTTATACAATATCCCGCTTTGGTAATATCCTCCAGAATCCACCCTGAAGGTATTGCAATAGTTTATAAATTCCCATCAATAGTATATGAGACTTTCCCCCACATTCTTGCCAGCACTTGATAATTTTTTATTTTTGCCATTTTGATGGTTGCACAACAATATCTTGTTTTGCCCCATGTCTCCAAAGAAAGACATGTGTCTTCAGATTGAAGAAACTTGAGTCCTAGGCAAAACAAATAAAAATAAATTCATACTTAGTGACATAGTGAAACTTCAGAACACCAAATGCAAAGAGAAAAAGCTTAAAAGGAAAATAAAATGTACTTACAATACAAGGACAAATAGACTGACAACAGATGTCTCATTGGCAATTACAGAGGTCAAAAGACAATGGGAGGATATCTTCAAAGTGCTGAGAAAGGGGGGAAAAAAAAACCTGTCAAACTACAATCTTATATGCAGATGTTTAACGTACAATTATTCTCCCAGTCTTTCCATCTGTTCATCCTTGGTTGACCTCCCCACCTTCTGAAGAAATAAATATTTTTCCTTAATCAAAGAGATGAGTAGTATCTGAAGATGGGCAAATCTTAGAACCTTATGCTGACCGGTCACATGATGGGTCGAAGAGTAGCCCTATAAACAAAGAAGATCATAAAGAGCTCTGGACACTCAGCCCTGAGACCAATTCAACCTTTCCCTCTCCATACTTTGGAGATGCATCCTACTTTGTTTCTGTGACTTACATCTGAAAGTCCTGAGAGGAATCTTTGCCTGAGATGAAAACAAAACAAAACAAACTGAAGAGAGGCAAAATGAGACTAAAAGAAAATTAGAGACAGAAACAGAAGGGCAACTTGGGAAGTTCTTGTCAGAGTTTATTTTTTAACTAGCTGGAGTTGTAGGAGTGGTAGAGGGCAGATGACATAGGTAACCCAACCACTATGAAAGGTGAGGGACAGAGAAACCACAAAAAGCAATAGACAAAAGCATTGCCCAGCAGGGAATAACCTTTAGTGAACTCTCACACCAACAATTTTCCAGCTCAGAAAATAGAGTGACTCCATGTCTCTGTGTACATTCCCACCACAAGTACAGAAACCATCATTTATGAATTCCAAGCCACCTTCCCCCGCTGGACGTAAGTACGTTTGTATTGTATTTCCGTGTTCTCTTTATTAAAATGAAAACAACATCATTCATTTATATCACAGAATTTCAGAGCTGGAAAGTTTCTTAAAGGTCCTTTAGTTCAACTCTCTTATTTCACAGGTGGGTGAATCCAAGCCCACAGATTTGAGTTATTTGAAGTGACATAGATAGTTAGCAACATATATAAGGATAAGACCTAGAATCCTGATACCTAATTCACTTCTACTTTTCATATACTACACTATCTCTCTATCTATATAAACTATATGTGCCTTACATAATGCTCTACGTAAAGTAGACATTTTTCTAAATCCTGGCTGGCCACATATCCTTCTTTTCTTTCTTCTCCCTGGGTTTGTTTTATTAGAATATTCTTGGATTTGATGTTAAAACTGCTGTCCTCACTATGCCATTACAGCTAAAGACTCTATCCCCTGGGCATCAGAGGGATTATCCCATACCTCACACCATTGTATTAGCTAAATGGAGCAGGCATATGTGGCTTGGAGCAGATAGTAAACTGATGTGGCAAAATCAAATATGACCCAGTACTTTGGACTCTACATACTTAGCATTTTAACACATTCTAAAGAGAAAAAAACCCAACTGTGAAAATATAGTAAAAATCTTGAAAAGGCATTGAAGCAAAAAGCAATTATCTCATCAACAACACAGTAAATTTAATCAGATTTTGTTATCAAGTTTTCTCTACCCTCTTTCCAAAATCTTTCACTTTGTGTGTCTTATTCCCTGATGGTCTCTTCCTTCTATCTTCCCATGTGTAATTCCAAAAACCCCCTTCCTTTCTCTGGAGCCCTTTAGCCTCTACCCCAAGACTGTACTGCCACCTGACAAACCATAAATGTTTTGCTTTGCCAAATGTTTCCTATTCCTCAAGCCTGCCTCAGAAGCTCAGTTCATTCAGCCAGGATGTAAGTAGAGTGTATATATGTTTCTCTTCCAGAATATGGAATCAACACCTCCTTTTCTGAACACCAGATGGCTCCAAGTAGTGTTTTGTATCAATAAGTGAACAGGCTAGACTCTCCTTGATCAGATTTTTGGAGTTTTAAACACAAGTAAGTAGACCTCTGGTAAATAGCCCCCTCTATAATATTCCTTCTGAAAGCTTAGTGCCATCGAGGTACACTGTAGACTAAATAGTAGACTAAATATTTAAGCTTTTGGAGAGGTTCCCATGGTTTGTAGAATAGCTATAAGAAGGCAAGACCAGCATCATCATTGCACATCTGTGAATCAAGAAACTGAGGCATAGATAAATTAAATGACTTGTCCGAAGTCATCCAGTTAGTGAGAAACTAAATTCCAGCCCACTTTTTCTTACATAAATTCATGCCATTTCCAAGGCTACATCTCCTTGCCCATATATCTGAAACTTTCTTTGAGCCACTACTATCAAAATGCCAATAACTGGAAAATTTAATTTACTATATTTGTGCTATGTGAAGGTATTACAATTTAGCAAAATTTCCATGATTTAGAAAACACAATAAGAGAAAATATCAAGAAACTGAGTATATGTTTAGAAATCAGATATTATTATTATTATTATTATTATTATTTTGGAGAGGTTTTTGTTATAGGGCGTGTGCACTTGCCAGCCAGACAGAGAGAGACAGAGAGACAGAAAGCAAGAAATCACCCCCCAGGGGGGATGGCCATGCCGCAATCCTTTCTCCTCTGTTCTCCTCTTGGGATCTTGGGCACGCACGCACACGCACCCGGCGTGAGTTTTAAGCCACCGGGTCCGGGACGTGAACCACGGTCAACTAGATGGGAGTCCAGCAACATAGCCATTACATTAACTGCTGGTCCCATCAGATATTATTTTAAGTCAAGATATATATCAAATCAGGTTAAACTGAGAAGCTAATATATTCACATGAAATCTTACTTTATAGATATTAATTGTGTATGGTGCCTAAATACAAATGCTCATAGAATTTTGTTCAGGGAAGAATAAAACTGATCTGTTACATCCAAGAATTTTAGTTCTGCAGATTCTATTTTATGAAACTCGGTATTTTGTTAGCTCTAAGTAAGACCAAGCACCTCAACTGTGGGGATTGCTCTGTTTAATATTGGCAAGTATTCATGTTAGAGGTTCAACACTGTGTCACCTGCTTCCAGAAACTCTGGCTAAAGAAAGCAAAAATCTTTTGAAAATGGGGGAAGGATCTGGGCATTTCCTGTTCTTTAAGTGGATGAACTCAGTTGACACTTAGACTAAGGCAGAGTCTTAGACTAAGGCAGAGTCTTTGGCTATAGCCCCTCAAGTGCTTTATGGCCCACTAGGGCCATAGGCCACTAGGGCTAGGACATGTAAGACACTCACATTTTTGTCTAAAGCTCAGATGCAATCCTTGAATAATTTATTGAACTGGAGGATAAGAGCAACCTGAAGTTTTACATTTAGGAACTTACTACAAGTCTTACAGATTTTGCAGAATCCAGAAATGGGAATGGAAGAGAAGGGATTATGGTGTGTCCATCCCCCCTGGTGGGAGTGGGAAGAGCTTTCTCACTTTCTCTCTTTCTCTCTTTCTCCCTCTCTGTCTCTCTCTGGCAAATGTGCGTGCCCTATATTAGCCAACAAACAAAAAAGTGGATAGAGGGCAAAGGTTGGTTAGTTGCCTAAAGAACTCCAAATAGGGGGCTCAGATTTTAAGGCAAAATAAATTCTACATTTGGGAAAAAAAGAAGAAAGAAAACATGAACTTGATTTTTTTCCCCCTGAGTAAATAATGTTCTAGGTTAAGCAAGTTGCCTATGTAATCTCTATATTAGAAAGTCACTACCTCACATTGCTCTAACACAGTGCTATGCCAGTGCTTAAAAGGTTCAGAAAGTCGAGCTCCTTAAGAGACAGCCTTATAGGGAGAGAATGGTTGGGTGTGGGGTGCAAGGGAAGGAAACATTTGACAGAAAAATGTAAAATTCTCTGTTCTCTTTTTTTCTAGAAAGATTTTTGCTATAGTCCACATGTGCTCATTGGAGATACAGTAAGCAAGAAATCACCCCCCTGGGGAGATGGCCATGCCACAATCCCTTTTCCTCCATTCTCTTCTAGGGATTTTGGGCACACAAGCATATGCACCCGGCAATTACATGGGAGTCCAGCGATGTAACCAATACGCCATCTGCTGGTCCCAAGAAAAATGTAAAGTTCTCTTTAGGAAAAAAATACGTGTTTACATGTATCATGGTGGGGACTATAGGTAAAATGTGAAATTAATATAAACAAATAAATAAATAAATATTTTTTTAAAAGAAACAACCTTATGCAGCCTTGCTGAGTAATACATATACACTAAAGAGTTTTCATGTTCACAGACACTTGAGTTTCACAAGTCGGAGGGAGAAGGCATTGGAGCACATCGCCAACCAAACCTGCTCCTGTGTGAGTAAGGCCCACCTGTAGTTTACTGTACTAGGAACCACGACTTCCTGTTGGCCTGGTTTTGCACAAGGAGAGGAGGGAATGGAAGGGTGGGAGAACACAGGAAGCAGCTGAAGGAAAGAAGCCTCAGAAAGAGAAGAATCTCTCTTTCTGTCTCTCTTTCTCTCTCTCTCTCTCTCTCACACACACACACACACACATTCATGGACACATTTTGTGCCAGATGCTCCTACCTCTTTCTTTGGACTCCAGAGATTTTCTTAGTACCCCAAGAGCTCACTGAAAAGAAACGTAGACCAGAGAAGAGGAAGGTATGTCACATAGGAAGTTGAGTTCCATATCAGCTGGGAACTTTTGAAGACTTTAAGACAATGTAAGTAATAGCAAATTAAAACTATAGGTGAGACCAGTAGGTGGCGTGGTGGTGAAGGCGCTGGACACTCCCACATGGCCAATCACGGTTCAAGTCCTGGACCTGGTGGCTTGCTTTCTCACTTTCCCTCTCTCTCTCTCTGTCTCTCTGCTCAAATTAAAATAAAATAAATTGATAAATAAAATTAAATTAAAAATTCTTTAAAAAATCAATAAACTGTAGGTGAAAACACATTAAGGAGGCAGATTCAGCAGTGATATAACCATCCTGATGTACCCTGCAAGGCAGATGGGACCACAGCATCAGGCCACTTGGGCACTGAAAAGTCCTAAAGTCAGAACCCCTCCCAAGACCCCCTACTGGTTGCTTGATAGTGGGAAGCTGCACCAGTCAGAAAGGTGATTATTTAGGTCAAATCTCAACTACCAGAGACAAGATCTGGAGAGAGAAGTTAGTGAAGATGGTA